TTGATTACTGTCTGCTAGTTATTATACCTGTTTTTACCAGTAAATTATATGCAAGTCTACCAAATGCCTAAATCCTTTCGATTTTTCTGATGCTTTCTTCAGTGACTGAATCAAAACAAAAACAAATGATCGCAATGCATGCCATTCAACAGAGAATCTTTTAGTAGACTGGTAACAAGTAATGGTGGCCTTGTCCATGCAACAGCATGTTCTTTGAACTTGTTAGCTTCCCAAGTGCTTTTCAAAGAAAGAAATTTTCTTCCAAATGTAATGCAATTACATACAAAACAGATAAAGTATTTTTTCTTGTGAAAGACCTACCTACATGTAGTAGCATTTGGTAAGGAAGGATTTTTGAACTGCTTAAGATTGATACTTGAATCGGTATTGAAAAAATCCACTGTCCAACCCCCCTCCCCTCTGGAACTTCCTGGGCCTTTGACCCCTACCCCAGCAGAAAATTTCCAATTCCCATTGTGGTGGAGGTATGGATATTTTCTGGAACTGCGCACTTTTTGTTTGGCTTTACAGCCAGAGGATTGAAACACAAAATAACACAGAATAAAACACTTGTTAAAGATGAATATATTTTGAGATGAGCTTGATCAAGCAGGCAGTGCAGATGAAGCCTACAAGTCAGACTTTGATAAGAGGACTGTTAGGAATTTTCCCACATTTCCTAAGAAACGTTTGGTTTAATTTGACATCATGCGGATATCAATGTGATGGTCTATTTTGGTCTTTGAATTGTGCTTATGATGAGCAATAATTGGGGACAGGATAATAAGTAAAGTTATTTTTGTTTCATGTATTGTGGGATTGACAAAAGTGTGCTAAAAAAATTTCAGAGTACTGCAAACTTAATGGATAACCAAGAAAAAAGGCACTTGAATCTTTCAACCAAGTTCTTGTTTGAGCAATGGAACAACATTGTCAAGAAGAGTGAAGAAGCCTTGTGGTCTGCAGGGTTTTCATATTCAGATATGAAACATTTTCTTTGAAAAGAAATGTTCAGTATTGCTTGTGTAACAGGCCTCTTATTTCTTAGCAAAATGTTTTTTTTTTCATTAAGAGGTTAAAAAAAATATCCACAGTCTACCTCAGGCAGGATCTTCATCCAAACACCCCTTAAGCTTCAGAAATTCCAAAATGCTCCACCCCCCTTTACCTCCTGAATTTCTGTCATCACTCAAAACACGCTCAGGAATTTGTGCTGTTTCTTTACAACTGGTTTGTTTAATTAGTAATTAAGTTAATTTTACAGTTCAAAACAAACCTTGTTGTTGTCCCTCTCTATCTAAACACCTTTATTAAATGGAGATTTATTGTTCACTCCCTCCAAAAAATGTGCATATTTGGTAGTTTTCAGCTCAGTGAATGAGTAATGCAAAGACCTGATTGAGTGACTGTTTGGCTTCCTTGAAAAGGAAAACAAATTTGAAATGTTTATTTTTTTACCTGAAAAACTGTTAAGACATGTGAAAGTAATTCCAGCCTATGGACCTCCCTCTCTCCTTCAAAATTCTGAGATGCCCATAGCATACAGGTTCGGATATTTTCTGGAATTCCCAATCATTATTTCTATTAAAAATACCACTTGAAAATTTCATTGTATAATTTTGTAGGTCGCACCATGTATGTGATGGCATTCAGTATGGGTCCTGTGGGATCACCTGTATCCAAGATTGGTATCCAGGTTACTGACTCTGCTTATGTTGTTTGCTGTATGCGAATCATGACACGCATGGGTGCTCATGTTCTGAAGGTCCTTGGTGACGGTGATTTTGTGAAGTGTCTTCACTCAGTTGGCGTGCCTAAACCTGAACCACCATCTCAGTACAAATGGCCATGTAATCCAGATAAGACAATCATCTCTCATTTTCCTCATGATCGTGAGATTAAGTCATTTGGAAGTGGTTATGGAGGAAACTCTCTATTGGGAAAGAAGTGTTTTGCTCTAAGGATTGCTAGCACTATTGGTCGTGATGAAGGATGGCTGGCAGAGCACATGCTGGTATGTTTAGTAATATTAATACAATTCTGTCCATAGACCTGTCTTTCTGACTTGAGACAAATTAGTAAACAGTTTAGTGAGGGATAACCCTCTCTGTTCTTGAAGTTAATCTCAAAACTTAAAATATACGCTTTGTTTTGTGTTAAACTTTTTCCTGCTTTTTTTAAATACAAAAGCGTGTTGTTTCTTAGTGTGACTTTCACCATTTTTTTGCATTGCGATGTAATTGTGACAGTGAGGTTTCTAGAGGGAAATTGCTCCCTTGCAACCCATCTAGTCACTTACTATGAGGAAAACTTTGATTGCAATTTAATTAATTAATTAATCAATCAATCAATTACTTAATTAGAGGGAGTTACTTCACGGATTGTATAATTTCCAAGGATTTTGAATTATTCATATTAGTACATTAATAATAGGTAAATATTATTAGTAAAAATTGATAATAAGCCATGAACATAAACTTAAAAGGGAAATAGTTTCAGAAACAATTCAAGGAGTATCACCTTCCAGGTTTGTTTCTACCTCTCTGACACACACATATTCAACTTTTCAGTCCCTTGCTTGGCCTAGTTTGTTTATTCTACTAACTAGTTGGGAAATGATAATTATTGGTAGTGATTGTGATAAGTTGTAATTTCAGTAACTTTCCTTTTTATTTTTTCAGATCATGGGCCTCACAAATCCCAGGGGAGAGAAGAAGTACATAACTGCAGCTTTCCCAAGTGCTTGTGGTAAAACAAATCTTGCCATGATAACTCCAACGATGCCAGGGTGGAAAGTTGAGTGTGTTGGTGATGACATTGCTTGGATGTGGTTTGATGAAGAAGGTCAACTGAGAGCCATAAACCCAGAGAGTGGCTTCTTTGGAGTTGCGCCAGGATCATCTTATTTGACCAATCCTATTGCAATGAAGACCTTCCAGAAGGACACAGTTTTCACTAATGTGGCAGAAACTAGTGATGGCGACTTTTGGTGGGAAGGTACACTTAATTATGGCTAGTGAAAATGTGTGACCTAATATGGTGGTTATTTTTTCAGTAAAATGTAAACATGTTTTCTTGGTTGCAGTTAGAGATGGAAATATAACCCAAAGGAATTTTCAAAACATATACTATATTGTACTACACTACTGACAGTAACCCTAAGGGGTACTCAGGTATAATGACAGAGAGACTGGAAGCACTATTTGGGGTATAAATTTGCAATTTAAGGACTTTTGATGAGTTCCATTTTCTAGACTTGAGTTTCTTTGACTGAAATGTTTTGTTATGGACTCTTAAACTTGTATGTAGGCCCTAGCAAAGTTTAACTTCTTTTTGATCTTTACTTCAGGTTTAGACCTGCCAGAAGATGTGAGCATCACTAGTTGGCTTGGGGAGAAAAACTGGAAGCCTGGCAACACCAAGGCAGCACATCCTAACTCAAGATTCTGTGCCCCTAGTGACCATTGTCCAATCATGGACAAGGACTGGGAGAATCCTAAAGGCGTACCTATCAGTGCAATATTGTTTGGTGGCCGACGCCCTCAGGGAGTTCCTTTGGTCTATCAGTCCTTTAACTGGCAGCATGGAGTGTTCGTTGCCTCATCTATGTCGTCAGAGGCCACAGCTGCTGCAGAACACAAGTCTAAAACAGTCATGAGAGATCCTTTTGCCATGAGGCCCTTCTTTGGTTACAATTTTGGCAAGTACATGGAGCACTGGTTGAGCATGGAAAAGGACAACCGCAAAATGCCTAAGATTTTTCACGTGAATTGGTTCCGTACCAATGAAGAAGGTCATTTTATATGGCCAGGTGAGTTCATTCTCATATCAAAAAACTCTAGGGTTAAATGAAGCTGCAAAACGTGTGAAAGATACTCTATAGTAGTACCTACTTTTGTCTTTTCAGTGCTGCTGCTTTGAGATTATTGGGTGGTATCTCATGGTTAGTGTGCTCGACTTCGGATCGAGCGGTCCGGGTTCGAGCCCTGGCCAGGGAAATTGTGTTGTATTATTGGGCAAGACACTTAACTCTCACAGTGCGTCTCTCCACCCAGGTGTATAAATGGGTACCAGCAAAATTGATGCTGGGGGTAACCCTGCCATGGACTAGTATCCCATCCAGGGGGGAGTAGAAATACTCCTGGTCGCTTCATTTTACAGAAGCCGGGATAAGCTCCAGCCTGATGGGCCACTTGGCTAGTATGCAGTCTTAACCTACCTATTTAAGTAATGATGTTGTAGATGTATGCTACAGAGACTTTTTTTCAGTTGAGCTATCTATAACGGTATTTTTCTCCCTTGTAAACTTTCTGGAACGGGCAAACTCTG